TCTCCTGGGAAGCTGAATGTTGAGTGGGCCTCACAGGGAGGACGGGTGTTGGGGGCCTGGCAGGCACACCGAGAGATAGCTCCCGAGTCCCCAGTGCTGAGACCACCCTGGCAACCCTGCCTCTTGTCCTTCCCAAGGTCCATTTGTCCATCTCTTCCTGCTGCTTCTGTTGTTCTCAGCTGAGGAGCTCTGGCCCATGCATCCCGCTGTTGGAGGGCAACCAGATGACTGTCCTGCCGTGAGCATCAGAGGTCTCGGGCCTGTGAAGCCTGATCCCTTCTCTAAGTGAAGCTCCAGGTCAGGGCTCAGCCACCCGGCTGGGGAGCTCATCCGGAAGAACTTGTGCCCATGAGGAGAGTAAGGGGAGAGGAGACATGTGAGACCACAAACCTAGGGTGTGTGAAAGACATGCAAGGCCAGGCCTCAGGACCAGAATATGCTTCTATTCCTCAGCCTCAACATCTGCCTCTTGCTTTTTCAACAGCTGCCAGGTTATGATGTAACACCAACTTCTGTAACAGATAAACACCCCAAATCGCAGTGTCTCAACGCGATAAAAGTTTCTTTCTCACATGAAGCATCCAGGTAAAGAGTCGCGCAATTCAAGAACGGGGATCCCTTCTGTCTTGTGGTTCCCACAGCCCCTAGGACCTCAGAGTTATTCTTTGTGTCCCACAGACAGGGAGAGTGGCCAATCCCGAAACATGTCTTAACACACCAGATCTGAAGGAGGCTAAGGGACCAGCAGGACATTTCCTCTACATCTATTCAACTTGAGCTCCATGAGGGCGGAAGCTCTGTCTGGTTCACCATTCTATCCACTGGCTCACCCGTAACCCATGGCCACACCTTATCTGCTGGGCTGCAAAAGCCTTGCAGCACTGGCCTGAGGTGTGAGGTGACGTGGGGGTTGTCTCCATTGCTCAGACCCATGCGGAGGCGCCTCATCTCCTAGGTGAGTGTGACTACTACACATTCACAGCAAGCACAGCTGCTGCCCAGTTCCCCAGGGCATCGCCAGCAAGGCCGTGTGGACGGGGCGCAGCTCAGAGCGGCCCCATGACAAGGTGGCAGGGTGGCAGGTGAGCTCGAACTATCTGCGGGTTCCTGCTCTCTCCTGTCCCCGTTGGTCAGAGTCTTGCCCGCGCGCACCGGGTCCCTGCACTTCCGAGGTGTACTCCTGGCCTCTCCAGGAGGCTGCTTGCAGGCTCCTTGACCCGCGGTGGTAGCGCTCGTGGGTTTGAGACCAGGAAAACGGCAGGAGCCATCACCAGAATCGCTCTGGGCCGACATGAGATGAGGGGCTGGGGCTGGGTGGGCTGATGGGGGTCGGGGCCAAGCACCGAGCCTGCGCCCGGCACTATGCGGTGGTCTGGGGACAAAAGCATGAGCGAGACAGGGAGAGTTCGCCCCGGAAGACCTTCATGGGTGCCACGGAGATGTCCTGCTGACACCTCAACCTCAGTTTCGACAAAACAGAAGCGCCCGTGTCCCCTTCCATCTCACCGTTTCCCCTCTCAGCGAGGGCAGCGGGGTCCCCTCGGTTACACAGCTCGGAGAGCACAGCCCCAGCTCATCCCTCCACCTGCCCCGCACTGCTTCCGACTCCCCCAGCACATCTGCCGTCATCATTAAGATTTACTGAGAGCTCGGGGCGCCTGGGTGGTTCAGTCCATTTAATACCCGACTCAATTTCAGCTTTTGTCCTGGTCTCGGAGTCATGGGATGGAGCCCCACCTCGGGCTCTGTGCTGGGTGTGGAGCCTGCTTGGGATTCTCTCTCTTCCTCTCCCTCTGTCCCTCCCCCACTCATGTGCTAGCTCGCTCTCTCTCTAA